AATTCTAGAAACAGTCTAAACAGTTAAGACTCTAGAACACCCTTGCAGATTACCCGGCAAGAAGATCTTATGAACAGATTAGATGAAAATTTTAAGCGATTGCAGGCTGATACATTTGAGGGAAAGCTGGATGATTTGAGAAATTGAGGAAAACTCTAGATGATGCATGGAATTAGAAGGGTAACCAAATTAAGTTTCAATTTAATTCAGAGATTACGGACAGTGTTAAGCAGATAAAGTGGGCTATTGAAAATCGTTAGTGGCTTATGCTTCTTTCTTTTGCACTGAAGAATTGTATCTCATTCCAGCGACGAATAAGCTGATTAAGTCAAGAAGTCAAGAGCTGACTAAGTCATGAAGTCAAGAGCTGACCCCGAAACCCTTTATCCTATCATTACCAATTTTTAAACTTGGTATCATCAATATATACATGCATACTAAGTTTCATCAAGATTATATAAAAATAAATAAACACCAATTAAATATGATAGATAAGCCTACTAGAAACGTTTTTCTTACCTTAATACGACTCATTTAGTACCAAATACACAAATATTCATTTCAAAAGACGATTTCCTATGAACATTTAATCTTTATAGTTCAATGATCCTTTCAAAGGATGATTTTTCAGCTCAGTATTCGTTGGCTTAGGCCTTAACCGACCAAATTTGTGCTATATCAACTCTTTATCATGAGACTCTACACTTATGATTTCAGTAATATGACGAAACGTAGACGAGATGGTGATATAAAACTTATTGTTAACGATACCGAGAAATTCATTTCGTTAGTGCAACAGAACAGTACCCTATATCTGTGGTTCTCAACAGGGGAGGAATGATCATAGGGAGGAATTATTGTTAATTGGTGGGGGTGTGGAGAGGGATCATTAGTCCGGGGAGGAAATAGGAGGCACCTACGACTGAAATTGACGTCATTTACCCCGACATAATTGTGAACGAACATTCGGTTCAAGGGTCACATTAAACTATCTTGATAGTGAAAAATAATTTTATATCCATTCGTGGTTAATCGTTGAATACATCTTTCAGTGAAATACGATTCACAGTGACTGATTTTTGGGGAGGAATAGATTTGGAGGAATTCTTCTGGGAAGGAATAATCTCACTGAGATTGAGAAGCAGTGTCCTATATGATAAGATTTATAGGTTATACAAAGACCTAGATACACCTGAAAACAACAGGCGTTACAGGTACAGGTATAGCTACAATGAAAAAAAAAGATTTGAAGGAATTTATTTTTATATATCACATTTAACTTAATTAGGAAAGTTCCTAAAAGTTTTTAAATGCTTTGTACTTTTAACCATGACTTCAAGATGGCTACCCTGGCAGTCAAAAACTAATTGAAAAATTGCAGGATAGATATACTGGCTTCTGACAGTAGGACTGACGCAAATGAAAACGTACGAATGTATCACCTACTCACAACATTTGTGAATACATGATAATTCATTAAAAACACTAATTAATAAAATAGTTGCATAATTTGAGACTAAAAAATAAGGAAACCCATCTTTAACTTCCCTTCCCACCTGTCTATACCAAATAGCTTTTTAATTTCATTGTTCACATATTATGTCCATATCGTTTTGTGGGACTTGTTATCGAGTTATGTTAGTTGCAACAACCATTCTACTTTCCTAGACCTTCTGTAGTGGCAACTTTTTTTTGCAACAAAAAGTAGAAAATCGGCCCTTAAAGTCGCATTTTTGGGTCGATTTTCTTCGGGTTTTCAATTCTGAAATCCACATGTAATTGTTGATATGATAGCTCTTTAAAAAATTCGAAATTCGAAAATTTGTCGCACACTTTTTTCGGTCGAATTTTGCAATTTTTTACCAAACAAACTTTTTAGCTTTTTGTCTGATTAATCCAAAAATTTTTTAACAAAGACAGTTCAAGAAAGTGAACAAAATTGTATAATCAATTTTTTTAATTTACTTTAAACTTCCGATTGAACTACTTCCGGTGTAACTAATTTAGCGCGACGGAACTTATATAAATCGATATAAAGCGTTATGACAAAAAAACGAAGAAGAAAAAATCCGGTCCGAACGTGATAGTTTGGTCGCCATTTTGAATTTTCTGAAATGCGTCGATTTTTATTCAGAATACGGCTTATCCGATTTTGATGATTTTGGTGTCACATGAAAGAACATAAAAATTTTAAAAAAACTGTGGGAGCCGATTTTTGAATTTCGCTTTTTGCATTTTTCCAATTTCCGGTTAAATTTTTTCGAAGTTTAAAGGATTATATCTTATGACCTTGACCTTTGATGACCTTGACCTTTATTGGGTCAAAGGTCATTGACCTTGACTATCGGCTGATACTTTCATATTTGACATCTACTTCCGGTTTTATAGATGTCCAAAAACAGCCAAATTAGCAACTTTGGACTGCTATAGCACGTGACCTAATTAACCTAGAGGGTTAGGTAAAGCGCTTCTCATGCTCTTTCCAGCGGTATAAAGTTTTTTAAAGCAAAATTAAAATGCTTAATTTTTTGAAATTTGAGTGTTTTTTACAACATTTGTGTCTCTTTGAGCTTAGTGTATGTATATCTTATGACCTATTTGATGTAGAAGCTTGAAGTTTGGAACACAACTAGACATTTTGAATATGAATTATACTATGACAAAAAAGTTGAGGTGGGCGTGGCACATCCGGGTTAAATTGCTGATTGTTTAAATCTCGGGCAGGGGCGTAACTCGCATATTTACATTTGTTCAAAAAGGGACTTAGCACACAATTACCTCATCCATTTGGCCAGTTTGTGTTTATAGATAAAAAAAAAAGGAACGGGTTTTAGAATTTCCATATCTTTAATTTTTGACATTGACCTTGAATGACCTTAACATTTGTAGGGTTAAAGGTCATTGACCTTGGTTATCTATTTATACTTTCATATTTGATGTCCGATGTATGCTTCCGGTTTTGTAGCCGTATGCATTTTGAAAGTTTGATGAGTGATATCTCGTGACCCTGACTTTTGTTGACCTTCCCGTTATAAGGTCAAAGGTCAGTCATTGACTTTGGCTATTCGCTGATTTTTTTCATTTCTGGTGTCTGATGTCTACTTCCGGTTTCACAACCTTCCACACACAGAAAATGTTGCTAATTTAGACTGCTCTGGCACGTGACCTAATTAACCCAGAAGGTTGATTTTTTCAGAGTCTTTTGCAATTTGCCTCAGCAGCAAAGTCCCACTCTGTGCCACGTGTGGCTCTAGTTTTAGATGTTATCTTATTTGACAGGACAAAATTGTAAAGAGGCCTAATTTTTCACCCTTGTTATTAACGATTTTATTATTATTACTATTAGTACTATTATTATATTCAGGAATCGTACACAAGTTTCGCATTCGTTTGACGTACGCAAAATTTACGTATGTATATATGACCACGGCCATACAAAACGTTTCAGACTAACGCTAACGTATTCGTCAAACCAAATCGTCATGGTATAACAGAACCTTTCACGGGAGATGGTATTTAAAGATGGGTTTCCTTATTTTCTTAGTGTCAAATTAAGCAAACTATTTGATTAATTGGTGTTGCAAATGAATTATAATGTATTCTTAATCATATCATTATGTTTTAATTGCATTTTTCTCTTCTAATTTAGATAATTATGAATTAATTATGGACATGTGAGACAAACTGGTATTTCTCTAAATCATTAGAACACCTCTACTTTCTATTCATATAACTATAAGCGTAAGAATCAATCTTTAACGGTCGTTAGTATAAGTTGTCTTTAGGTTTTCGAAACGTTCTCTATAGGTTAATATCACGTTTTGTATATGTTCAATTCATTATATATATGCTAAGAATAAAAAAAATACGTCGATAGTTCAGCGTATGCAAATGTTTTATAGAACTTTTGATATATCGCCTTTCTCTGACTAAATCGTTATGGTGAAACAGGACCTAAAGTCATAACGTGCAGAAAAGTAGGAAGTAAAACTCAATCCATTTAATCTATACAACATAATCTTTTCTCCGTGTTCAACTATTTTTAGGATAGTGGGTCAAGTACTAAAGCATTAGCCTATATTCTCACAATGGAATGACGTACAAAATTACTCTATCTCTATTTTCAATATTCAATGCTCAATATATTAAGATTCAAAGAAAACGAATGGCAATAAAAAGTTTCTATCGCGTGAACCTGTAATTTCGAGGCAAAACACCAAAGGTCAATTTAATATATAAACAAGATACCCACTAGAAATATAAACATTTATTATTTTACGTTGTCAAGTTATTTTTTTTTTAAATAATGAACCACAGGCATTTGTCAAATTTACGGTCGAACATGTCCTGAATATTTTGAGTTTTTCTGTTGCTCAGTTGTTGGTATGTTAAGACTGTGTTGTATAATTTCACACTGACTGAAAATAATTGCTTAAAATATAGTGTTTCAAAAAAATAATTGTCCTCTACTTCTTAGTTGATATTGCAATGACTCGGTGAGAGTAAGCTTGCTCGATAAGGCGGAAGTTCAGACTTGAAAATTCTGACATAGATCGAAGTATCCTTTCGAATTTTCAACCCGGTTTGCCCTTGTCAATGATGGAGGTCGCAGTGGTTGATATAATTAATTATGGCACTAAATGATACTAACTACATGTATGTTACCTTGCGAATCATTATTGACTAATTTAGTATGCTATGAAAGTAGAATGGTTTTAGAATGTTCATGACCAGAAATTCAAAGCCGTTTTCTTCCAATTTTTCATTTAATTCTTTAATTAGCCCCGAGATTCATTCATTATCGACTGAAATGTCTCGACGGTTATTATTTCTCCTTATATTCTTGCGTCTGTGTCTATTTCTTTCTATCAATATGAAACTATATCGAATGCCTGTGTGAATAAGTTGCCTTACTGTTAAAGAACCATAGAAATACCTTGACACATATAAAGTAGGAATTAGTTAAATACGCACTCAGTTAATTGAAGTTGTCGTTTAAAATGGCACTGATAGAAATTTGTTTTTTCTACCTATTTTGTGTCTCTTCAATATCGACAAATACTGGTAATTCTGTTTTTTTATATGTTATTTTCATTTTATAAGATTAAAAATGATCCACACAGATTCTTTAAAGAGAACATGTATACCTCTTGTGTAATCTATCATGATAATATGGAAGACTTAAATATGTTTCAGTCATTGCGTGGCAAATTTTTGTTAAGCAATCGATTTTTTTTCGGGAATGTATCTAGCATAAACTGAAAATGGTAAAGTATTTTTGTTTTGACCAAAGATTTTTAAATGGGCTGGAATAAAAAATGAATATTCTAATGGATAATTTTGTTAAGCCGTTAGTGACATGTTGAATAATGTGCAAAAATTTGGTTTGGAGGCTGTAGAGTTTATTTGTGGGCCGATTTCCCCGGATTTTGTTTATGCCCTTTGTAACAAGATGTAATCGAATGCAATAGAAAATTTTAAATTTTGAAAATTTGTATAGAGAAAAAAAATTGCATGAAAAATTTTGATATTTTCAATTTGAGTGTCAATACAAATAAAATCAAAATCAAAATTCTTAAATAACTTCCGGGTTTCTCAAAATCACCTTGGGAGATCCTGCTTCCGGTGTAATTCACAAATGTAGACAAAGATAGCTTGCCAGGCAAGGTAATATACGCCTACTACTACTACTAGCTGTCAGAAATGATAAAGTCTGTAGTGGTTTAATATGTGAAACCAATCATCCGATTTTTACTAATTTCAAGCTTTACTGAGATCTCATACCAAGTTTCATCGAGATCGGATAAAAAATATAGTCTCTATCAGACCTAGAAGCCAAATTAGACGCATTGAACTAATTCAAGGGCAATAACTCCAAAACAGTTCATCCGATTGTTACCAACAAAAAACTTGACCATCTTGTCCATATATACATGCATACCAAGTTTCATCGTGATCAGATAAACCATGTAACCTCTTTTGTGCTTACAAGCCAAATTAAAGGCATTAATTTAATTCACGGGCAATAACTCCAAAATCATTCATCCAATTGTTACCATTTTGAACTTGAAGATATCAAGATATACATGCATACCAAGTTTCATCAAGATCAGATAAAGATGTACCCTGTTTCATGACTACAAGCCAAATTTGAAGCGTTTTTACTAAGTAAAAGGCAGTAACTCCAAAACCGTTCATACGATTAAGACCAAATTCAAACTTGACCGAGTCGACAAAAATGAACTCGTCAGCAAAATTTGACGAGAGAAGTCGTCGATACAAGTCATATGATCAATCCTATCAGGGGTGACATCTGATTGTGTGTTGTTTTTGTCAATTGAATAATTGAGAGGTTTATCGTGATGCGGTATAAATTAGTTCTATTATTTTAAAAAAATAGAGAAGATTGAGGTGGCATTTCTGGAGTGTAAATATATAATTGATTTATTTATCAGATACCCGAAAGTTTTAATTTTTTGTTCAAAAAATGTAGGCTTAAAGCAGTGGATTTGAAATCTAACAGGCTAGAAGTGTTTCAAAAGATTCAAAATCTATGGGATAAGGTCTCGTTGCCACGCTCAGAGGTGCTCACAGTTATAGTTTTAGTAGCAATTGCTTTTGCTGTATGATGTTTTTTAGTGTTTGTAGAATTATAAAATCTCGAAGTGGTTCGAAGATAAAACTGTATATCCGTTCTTTTTTTTAAATCAAGTTTGGATAGCCTAAATGAACTTATCGGCTATGGGAGAAAATTGTTTTTAGTTATACTTTCTCCTTTTGTTTTCAGATTATGATGGAGATGTACAAAACTACGACTCATATAATGAAGGCTTCAATACAGGTAACTCTTTGTAAATTTAGGTGGATATGGAAAGTGAAAACTTGAATTGGAATTTGTGATAAAGAATAAGAATTATGTTTTTAAGAACCGATACAAGAATATTGATTTTGATTGATATTTCCATGTTCGCTTTAAAGTGATACTACGTCTTAGAATGAACATAAAATTTAAGTTCTGAAGAATGGTCAATATGAGTATAAATTCATCAGTGAACTTAATGATCCCTGTAAATTTTGAAAAATGTATTTTGGGGTCGTAGGGCCAATGAAAGTAGGAAAAGCCGAATTAAGTATCTTCACTTCTGACAGAACCGAACCCCTAACTTGTGCTCGGTAAGGTATCCCTTTGTAGTAGTCTTCAATTAAAAAGTTCTTTTATAGTTGTTTTATGATCCTCTTTATTGGAATAAAATACCCTGGAAAATAAAAATATTTATTTGGGTGTTTATTAATCTTATACTTTTGTTGTTTGATTATAGATGTATGTAACTCACCCATTACACCATTTAGCACTCCTGATAAAAGATTAGCAAGCTATGTTCTTGGAGAAAACGAAACACCAATATCAGACCTAGGCTTATCATACGACTGGTATGGTCAGCCTAACTATAAGATGTATTCTGGTAACAATCCAGGAACCGACAGATGTGGAACAGTTCAACAGGTTTATTTTGAAGGTAGGCACAGAACAAAGTAACTATATTTCAAATATTCCCATTCTAACATTTCCATTTTCACGATTAGACTGTGAAATGACAGTTTTCATGATTCATTTAACGTTCAAATCTCGATAATGTGGCTGTCAGCCAGTCACGGTTTCTGTTATCACGACATTTTTGGTTTGGTATAAAAAAATCTAAACCGACTAACCGCGTCAACCAGTCAACCGAAAGTAGACTTATTATATATTACTAATTTTCATACTGGTTCATTTGTAGTTGGCTGGTTGATGGATCTAACATTATTTTGTTCGCTATTTGACGTAGCCCGACAAATCTGACCCTATTTGTACCAAGGAAGTGATAGACTTATCTGATATCTTCACGGTTAGGATATCACATCCGATAAACAAGTAACTTTGACAGAACGTAAAACAACGTGGTATATTATACAAGAAAATACTTCTAAAATATGCTATTTATACCTATATATCTACTTGATCAAACTGAGTTTTTTTGAAAGGGTTAATAAAAAAAACCGGAGCGTACTAATTAAGCAATATGTACCAGTTTTGATGTTTGGTTGTATAATGGCTCGATATCATTAGTTGAAAGCTTCCGAATAAGTATATTTCTATGCAAGACGGACTATAATTTTGGCGTAAAAAAATTAACAACTGGACCTTTTTTAGTCAAAACGTTCAGATGTGAAAAAGGACACAATTCTCTAAATGTTTGTGTAGAGATTTCATAAATTTTATCCAAAACTCTTTTTCGACCTACAAGTCAATTAAAATGGCAGCACCAGCCTCTCGAGATTGGTGGGTACAAATAGAGAGCAGACTGGCTCCATGGGGGACAACTGTCGAGGCTGAAATCCAAATGCCCCCCAAATGCGTCCGAGAGGGTTTTAACAGGAAAATATACGAAAAGTTTAATTGATTTGGTATATTCTGGCACATATTTTGGGACAAAAACGTATAAAAATCATGTTTTCCTTATTTTTTTTTAGTGACAAATTAAGCAAACTATTTTATTAATTGGTGTTTCTAATGAATTATCATGTATTCTTAATCACATCATTATATTCTTATTGCATATGATTAAGAGTGTCAACCATTCATAAATGTCGATGTATGAACAGTCTGGATAAACAAAAAAAGACTTTCCTCATTAAAATTTTGCTGGTAATTCTCTTCTTATTTAGCAAATTATAAATTAATTATGGACATGTGAGAAAAACTGGTAAATTTAAAGTCATTAGAACACATCCACTTTCTATTCATATAAGTATTATCATTTTCATTTTCATAAATGAAAATAAGGGAACTCATCTTTGATTATAAATTTGGGGTACAATTGGGGGTTTAAACCATATTTTATAAGGGCGGGGGGGGGGGGTGACCAAAACAATGTTTTATTGAAACTTGGCATGCTTATGCATACTGGTAATGTTATATAAACAAGCGATATATGAAATGTGTTGAGTAGGCGTAGAACCTATTGGATGATTGCCATTATGAAATTTCAAATAATCATTTCTAAATAACTAAAGATGTTTTTAAAGTTTGATGTTGCAAAATTTTCAATTTCATCTATGTACTAACATAGGGTGGTCTTTGTTATTTATGTCTTTCAGATGATTCTGAAGCAAGTCAGTCGACTAATATAACTCAATTGTGGGCGTGTGTAAATTATAACAATAGTTGTAATTACAGGATCCCTATTAGTGTGACATTCTGTGAGCAACTTAATCATCATGTATATCGTATAGATCCTGCAATACCTCAAAATGCCAGCTTTTGTTTAGGTAAGTGAAGATATATTTATCTTCCTCTACGCGGCCATATTTTTTTTTATTTTGCTGCATGTCTTGTTTTGGACAATATTCATTTATACATAATCCAAAAGTAAACGAATTATGAAAATAAACGGTAACGGTAATATAAAAATGCTGCAAAAAACTGTTTTACACACTATTTTATGCTTCTACAACACTGTTATGGTTTTTAGAGCTGATTTAGTAGTTAATAGTGCTGAGAATCTTTTTTCAGTGTAATCCACATTCAAAATATCTTATCCGATCCGTTACAGTTTTAGACTATTACCTATAAACTACAACCAACTTGATGGTCACAGATTCCGACCGCTCATTTCTATGACAAGATAAAATATTAGCCAAAAGTTGATTATAGTTGTTGAAGATCTAGTTGCTCGTAGCTGGCCAAAACCCCTATGATGGGGTTAGAAAATGATTTTGTCTGTGATTCTTATCCTATCAATGTACTGCTAGCATGATTTATAATACATGTATTACTATGACACTTACAAAATGTGTTGCTTTCAGAAAGATTCAATTCACCATTAAACTACATCACCGACGTTGAAGTGATAATACCACCACCAGTTGAAGTGGCCGGACAAATGAAATATCAGTTCAGATGTATGTTCGATTTATCGACGAGTGATAACTATTGGTATCACGTCACGTGGTATAGAGATGGTCAGATCATTAAAAATGTCCCGCCAATATCACATAGTAACAATCCAGTTGGTGGGTCGGTACTGGATGAAACAATGTTTGGTGGAGGACTTGGCTTTGAGGTAAATATAATTTCATTTCTATTACCCGCTCGGAATCTTAAAATACCATAAAAACTTGACGAGATAATAATACAGGTTATAACTGATACCATTTAGTTTTCTAAATCTGAAGTAGTAAAACACTGGTGTTGGTATGATAATATTTCCTGGATCTATTACTCGTTAAACACCTACAATCTACATCATGACACAATGTCATTTTAGGTACAATGTGCTTATGCAGTAAGTCTTCAAGCGGATTCTGAAACTGGTTATGTTAAGAAAAGTACTGAGAGATACGTAGGAATAGAGGTTTGTTGTCTTATTGCAATTTCAAATGGAAAATGATCAAATATATAAAAGATTAAAAACTCAGTTCAATCGAATTTCTATTACCAAATAAAGATATGTTATGAATCAAGTCACCTGATGATGCAATCTTATTACATTCCTATGGCTACATGTGCAGCGTGTATCAGTCAATTTCTTTTGTATGGTCTACAGGTCGATTGGAGTTTATAAATCAACTCTTTTTTGTTTGTTATCAAATTTTCGTCTTTACTTTGTAGCTTCTTACACCAACTGTAAATATTGCTGATGGAAGTAAGTCAGAGATCAAAGTCAGACCAACAATTCCAATAGGTTGTCCAAACTCAAATCCTGAATGTTCTCTATCCGTAAACATTATTGAACCACCTTCTTCAACTTCCAGTTGCGATCCTGAATCAAGTTTTTCAGATTGTGGAATTTCTATCTCAAGCAGAAACTGGGATCAGGAGCATTCAGTTAAATTATCTGTAAATGCAGCAACTCAGTATGGTGCTAAATCAGCTATTAACACTATTACTCTGAAGACCTCATCGAGTTTTCCATCACATAGTATATGGCAAGATTACATCATTGGTACCGTTAGGGTAAGCCAGTCATATCCGAAACAACCTTAGTGAAGGGTATTGAATTTTCCATGGAAAATCTGAAGTAAGAGAAATATAAATGAATTGATACTGACTATAGTTTTAAATTCAAATACATATCTACTATCTACAAAAGAATTTACTTTCAGATTCGCACCAGTCAAGATACTACAGCAACTCAAGGAAGGCATTGTTCGGCTGTTTGTGATCCCCATATGCGTACCTTTGGTGGATTGTAAGTTTTCATTTTTTTACTTTTATTTATTTGTTTTTATTTCTCTGTATCTATATAATTGTGACTGTATTGTCGTTGTGTGGATAATAAAGACATTACTTTAATTAAGGTTAATTTATTTTAACAGGAGTTACGAACATCAATACGAAGGTTTATATACACTTTATGAAAACATAGAATGGAGGCAAGAGGTAACGTATTTCATTATCATTATTACTCAGGTTTTATCCATTCTGAAATCAATCGAATAGGTAATGAGTTATTTGACTAATTGAATGTCCGAGGCATAAAGCTACAATTAGTTATGTCCAAAATCTGCATTTTTAGATAAATGCATCTCAAAATTTAATACTTTATGTACAGTTCTATAATTAAATCACGATTCGGTTTACACGGTATCACGCAATTTGATTGGATAACAGCGGTCACGTGCATTCGGCTCCCCTTAACGGACTACTTTTATCATTGAGTTTGATTGACGTGGCCACTACACGGCGTCGATGTCGTTCCTTCGAACTTCAACATAGCCGATATCGACACATCACTGAATGATAAAGGTATTTTCTAAGTTCTCCCAAATGTGCACACTCCAAATTCCAACAATATCATGAATTCTGGACTCGTCCTTCATTAATTGAACTTCCAATTGGGCCGCTCCGTCAACTTTCAGGTATTTATTGGCTGTTCTCATGGACGTCTCTATTGTTAGTATCAGTTCATTATCGCCATGTTAAAATCTTATGTATTTATGCGCCAATTTAGTGCCTGAAGTTGTTGTTATATTACATAAATATTTAAACACTTATTCGAGTTGATTTGATTATAAGGAATGACCTGAACATTTTTTCAGTTTATCGATGTAAAAACAGAAAAAATCCACGTGGTGGATGAAAGTTTATACATCGATTAACTGAAAAAATGTTCAGGTCATTCCTTATGAACATTTCAAAACAGTCTTTGATTATTCTGTAAATCCTGTTTTTACAAAAGTGTTAATCTTTAAAAATCATGTTTAACAATACCGTGTGGTGTGCATTGTGCATGTGAAGGACATAGCAATTTGTGGAACGGACATTATGTACACAAAATTGACATAACTATTTAAATTATAACACAAAGGCATAGGAAATATTTTGATTATTGAACTATATAACAACATAACTTTAGATCCATTATTAATTACTGGATATGGATTAACACAAAATAGCCAAGACCAGTACTTTCTGGCTAATTTATTCCGATTTACTATCGCTACCAGATCCACTTTCATCATCATCTTCACCAGAATCTGTTTGAGCAGGTTCAGGTACAGAATCTTTGGCCTGATTGCTAGTTGGTAGTGATTTATACCACGAGTGTAATTCTTTTGGAATGACCATGTATCGGAATATAAAGAAACCTCTTGTACAATAGGATCTAAGGATGATAGCTATTTCAGAAGACATGTTCCAATTTCAATTCATTGCTCCCCCGCCCACCGTTCATCTCTGACCAACAGTAACAGCTAGCATCATTTGGTGCTGCCTGGCTGTAAATGCATAGATTATAAATGCAGTTTTCGGCTGTAATATAATAATGAAACTGCACACTCTGTATATCAAAACTGCCTGACACAAAATGTGAATTTGTTGATGCTTTTGATTTATCTCCACTTTTAGATAACTGGCTTTCAGCCTTAAGCTCTATATGGGACTCATACTCATTGACTCAGTGCGAAAAGATTCTCTTTCGTTGCCCCCAGGTAAAGCAAACTTCGAGCAAACTTGGCATTGATCTATTTTAGGATGGAAGAAACTATAATTATAATCTGTGCAGAATACAGACCTTCGCTTACTGGGGTCTTAGGTGGGTTTGAATTTTCACACATACCTTTATACAAGCTGTACATTTTGAGAATATTCAGCTTCTGATCGAGATATTTTCGTTTAGTGACGCAACGGGTGTAATGCGACTCTGGAAAACTTTCAATTTGTTCTTTAATCAGTGTAACATATTCATTAGAAGTTTTATTGTATTTTGGATGTTTACCACGTTTATCATCGCCTGGAAATGTTCCAGAATCAGTATCTGCAAGGGCAGTCGTCAAATGACCAGAACTTATATCCAAAGTCTTCAGGAAAAAAGATTTGCAAATTCTGAAACGTTTGTTCTCTTTTGAGAAATAATACAGAATCGTCTGTTTTGGCTTAAGTTTTCGTTCATATCTTGGTCGTTCACGTGAAGCTTTACCCGCTACAGTGTTGGCTAACAAAAAATCCTTTTGACGATTATAATCCGACATCTTCCAGTATTCTTCACAAATTAACTGTCGATCATATTAGTTGAAGTTCTGGGTGCATCTACACCTACATTTGAAGCAATCTACAGGCTGTGGGGTTCTTTGACGGACCTTCTTTCCCCTAGAGATAACATGGGGCTTCCCTTGTTTACAGAGTTTCTTTCGAATGCCTTTTTCCATTTTTCAGGATTACTTTGTTGCCATTGAGATGATTTACACTCATCGTCACTTTTATCAGTTGCTTGGTTATCAGAGGAGTCCTGAGTATAAGTTGGGTCTGCATCCGAATCATCAAAATCAGCTCTGTCATCAACTTCTACCGTGTTAGAATCTGGTGTCACATTTACTAATAGTTTATCAATATCAGTTGGCGGAAAATTATTCTGTGGGGAATTTGAAGGACCAGCAGTAGTATTTTCTCTTAAACAATCATCTGTAAAACTGTTAGGACAGTCAGTGGGTTCTAATATTTCCATCAAAGTATTATTTGATATTACTTGGTTTGTTTCTGGCAAAACTTCCATATCACTTTCAGACTCTCAATTTCATTCAATAAATTAAGTATCGTACTTGCAGAATCGAGACGCAATCCTAAAATAGAATGATTTGAGAGATTTAGTACAAGACTAATTCATCATAAGGTGTTTAAATTGATATAAAATTTGATTTTGAAAGAGTTATGACACACGATGCTATTTATGCCATAAATGTTTATGTCCATTATCATTCTGAAACAATGAAAAGTTGAATGAAAACTTATGTGATCTGAATAGATGTAAATGAAAGATGATAAGATTGAGTATTCAACGAGATACTTATTCTTTTTGGATGACATGTCAAAGCTATTTAGATTTCTTAAAGCTGAAACAATGCTAACAACTGTCGAAAAGTTAATGTTAACAAACGCCATGTTTTTTTGGACATAACGTTTTGTAGTGTCAATCAGCACTCTACCTTGGCAAACCTCTAAGAATTGACCTTTCCCAGATTATCCGTAACATAAGTCGTGCTAAACTGTTACAGATTCAAATGAAAACAGCTCCTTGTACCGCTTCAAGAGACAGTAAACCCTATTGTCCGTGTGGTGTATCAGTAAGAGTTGGTAGAGAAGTGTTTGTAATAGAACGGTGTGCACCATTAAAGTACTGGAGGATAGAGTATTTACAGTGCAGTGTGACTGGTTTTAAATTAATTGATATAAAGAGATCAGGAAACAACTATGAGGTAAGGCTTGATTTACCAGGAGCTCATGAGGAGGAACTCCTATGGCACACAAAAAACTAAGTATACCCCCTAGAAAAATGATTTGTACCCCCAATTGTACCGCCACTTTATATTTTGCAAACTTAACAAGTGGTTGCCTAGCAAGATACGCCCACTTTCCTGATACATTTTCACTATATCAAGGACAATCACCTATCTGTGTCAAATCATACAAAAAATCTAATTTGTGCAAGATATTGTTGATTTAAACAAAGACACATTATTTAATAAAATTCTGACATAACTGTCACCTCTATCGCCAACAAATTTTGATGAGTTTTTACTAAGTCATGGGCAATAACTCCAATTCTGTTGATCGAAATATAGCCAACTTCAGACTTGACCAAGATCTCATCATTATAAATATTCACACCAAATTTCATATAAATTGGATAAAAAGTGTAGTCTCTATTGTGTTCACAAACAAATTTTGACGCGTTTTTCATAAGTCAAAGGCAATAGCTCAAAAATCGTGAATATCGAACTTGTCCAAGATCTCATCAATATAAATGATCACACTAAATTTCATTCGAATCAGATGAAAACTGTAGTCTCTATCGCGTTCACAAGCCAATTGTGGACAGACGGACGGACGGACGGACGGACGGACGGACGGACGGACATGGGTGACGACAATATACGTCCACATTATAATGTGGGCGTATAAAAATGATTTGTATACTTGTTTGTCCCTAAATATGAGTCAGAATGCACCAAATCAATTCAATGTTTTGAAAATTTTTTGGAAGAACCCTCGCTCCAGTTTCAGGAGGCTGGCAAGTCAATCATAAATAGTATAAGAGCAGTAATCTATTTGTATCCGCGTGGTACAGGTCCTGGATATCCAGTCCCTAGAATTGAAAGTCGATAGAACGGGCTTATGACCATGTCAGTCTTCATTAGCCCAAACAGATTCAGAAAAGTAAGATTTTAAACATCATTTCCTTCCATTTCTAGTTTAAGCTACCAAGTGGTTTAATAATGAAAACATCCGTTTATCAGCAACGACAATTCATCAATCTCTATCTCTACCCATCACAAACTGATACAGTAGCTACTGGATTGTGTGGACAGGTTGGGAGTGATATATTCTATAAGAGAGACCGTACCACTGTTGCCCATGTCAACTATCCTGGAATGCCTGACTTTTCCTCTTCTTGGAGGTAAATCATAATACCGCTTCTTTTTTTTAAATCTCGAGACTGTTGATTAATTGTCGTGCTATGTAGTGTTACAAAAAGTCAAATTCACATCAAATTGTGGAAATTGTTTATATTAACAGATTCTGTCAGTAACACTAAAGCCAATTTGATTGATACCCGATCTCAATTTTTGGTAAATTAAAATGATAACTTTAATCTATTTCAGCGTTCCAGACGCTAACATTGATCTATTTTCTGACGAAATTAAGTTACTTGATCCAGTAGAAACTGGTGGTTTCTTCTGTAAATGCACGACCCCAGTAGGGTCAACTGAACCACAATTTACTTGTGAAAAGTCTGATGATACTTGTGCTGTAACTATTGGAAGTTCAGAATCTGTTGATCAATGTATAGTTGGTGGTCTGCAATCAAAACGGTCTATAAAGAGTCACAGGTCCAGACGAAGTGCTGATAATTTAAAGAAGGGTCGTAAGAAGCGGGTAAGTGCAAGTTGTATGTAATATTTTAAAGTTGACCTTAAAATATGTAAATTGAACTAAAACTTGCTTTTGAAATCATAATATTGTTTTACCTCGCTGAAATCATTTGTTACTAGGCGGAGAATTTCTTCTGATTTTAAGTGGCTTCACACCAATCCATAGCGATCACCAGGTGCGTATGGTTGCAAATAAGAATAGCGGAATAACGAATGCAATTCATACGCTACTGAGCTAATTAAAATTTGACCTAAATTCCGTTCGTGTTTTATTAGTTTCGTTTCGAATTTTTTATTAGATTTGCTGAGTTGTGAGATGCATTTGGAAGATGAGGCGCCTTTAGTCTTTATAGCATAAAAAAACCCGCAAGCTTTGCTTAATTTCAGCGATAGCTTTAACGCTGTCAATTTACTTAATGCATTGAGTATGGTGTAAATCAGGTGTAAATCAATTAAAATGGACATTTTTAAAAATATTCATCGATATCTTAACTGACTTCATTCATCCAATTAAGCATACTTTTAAGACTTAATACAATGTATTTTCTTTGTTGTTGTATATTGATTATTTCTGAACTCTACTCTTTTCCTTCTGTTTGATGATAATTATGTTCATAATACATAAATAATGTTGATTAAGTTTATACTACGAGGGAAGTAACTTGTATTGATATGTCGGTATTTTCAATAGGCACAAGCTAACACAGAACTAACATGGAGAAATGGTTGGAATGAAACAACAGCAACTAACTACTGTAACAAATTATTTGACAATTCCACGTTTGTTGGAAAATGTAAAACCATTCCGAATGTTGACCTATCATTTCCCAGAGACAATTGTGTACAAGATATTAAGGTAAAAGCTTTCTTTACTTTTTGTATGCCCATATCTCTCAATGTGGATGTATAGTGTAGATCGCTGGTCTCAATAATTACCACAGCATGTAAAACGAATGTCGGTTTACATTCCAGACTTCTGTCAAAAGTCATTGTGAAGTGATGTACATAGTTTAATGATAAATCAAACATAATTAAAGCAGTATTATTACTGAAAAATTGGTGTCTTGATATTTTTAGTTTATGGGAGATACAAGTTTTGCTTTGGTAGCTATAGAGACTATAGTAAACCAGTGTATTCGTGAGGTGACCTATGATTCAACATATCATAGTCCACCCAACGGCGAAACAACATCTCTTCTAGAAGCAATTAAAGATGTGGCTTGTCCTTTAGATTGTTCCTATCATGGTACCTGTAACAAAGGTGAGCTCAATTTCGATCAACATGGTGTAAACTGGTTTTAATTGATAGTTTGTTTGTAAAAGAGATTGTAATGGATGGTTTGTGGCAACGATACAAGTCGTAATGATAGAATGTGTTCTGTATGAATAAAGCGTCTCTTTCAACTCTTTAAAGATTCAGAAGAAAATGAAAATAAAGAAGAAACACCATCAAAGCTCTTATAACCATGTTTTGACCATCTGTTGACTCCACCAGTTTATTGTATATATTTTTAATATAGGTGTGTGCACATGTGACTCAGGGTGGGCAGGAAATGATTGTTCAATGGACATCAGTATAGTGCCAGTGGTAGATCATATTGCTAATGAAGGGTATTGTGATTTGAATGATAGAAGTTGTGATGCTATATCGGTTTATGGTGGAGATTTTATCGATGATTCATCAACTCTTTGCAAAATATCCTCTTATCAAGTAAGTGTTTATTCATCTTCTTTATCTTCTTGGTAACTGGAACTTTAGTCGTGAGTACAAGTTCAGATACAGTGCGTTTTGTCAGTAAAACAAATTATTATATTGAGGTTAATGAAGATGTGATTCTCCTGGAGTCAAAGTGAAAGTTTTTGGTCCTAAGCAGTTGCGTTACAGCCACCATATTCAAAGTTAACACCCTTTTATGGCGTTCGATAGCGAAAATGACCATTGACGCGTTGTTTTCTTAACTCTATCTACACATTGTAGATAATGGACAATGGTGACTTCGGACCAAAGTCTGAAATAGAGGAACCATCAATAGTTAAAAGTATTGGCGAAGTACAGTGTGGACTGGGTAAATCGAGGAAAAAGAGATCAACTAGATCTCAACCTGGCAATGAATTTGTCAAAGTGTACAGTGTTTCTGTTAGTAATAATGGTGAAGCGTACAGTAATAGTAGTTTGGTTGTGATCTTCAACTCTATGTGCCAGTTCTGTACAATAACGGCTGCTAACGATGTACAATGTAATTACACGGTATGTTCTTTTCTTAAATCAATATTCAATACAGTAGAAATATGTATGATCACCTAATGTTAAGTGCATTTATGATTATCATAAATAAAAGAACATTCAATGTCTATAACAATTCGATTTGAATCATTAAGGATCGTCTGTATTTTAGGGTGATTTCTGTATATCAGAAGGAACGTGTTACGGTAATGGCGAACCTCATTCTCAACATACGTGCTATACTTGCTCTGTTGAAAATGGTGCTAGGGAATGGGTCAAAGGAGGTGACTGTGATGATGATATGTTATGGATTATTGGTGTGGTATTAGGTGTTGTTTTAATTCTTGTTATTATTGCTATTCTTGTTTATTGTGTAGTGAAGAAAAAGTAAGTTTTTTTTTTATCTTCATAGCTTTATTTCTTTCACCTCTTTAAAAACACCCGTGTAACTAGCTAAATGTAATTCATATCCTTCCAGTCTGTACTTGATAACAGCTATTTTGAAAAGTTTGTGAACTGGATATTATCTGATATATAGAAGTATGAAATAGGTTTCTATTTATTTAATCTCAATTCAACAGGCTCTTATTGGTCATTTTAGTTCATGTATCATCGATGTCTTCAATTTATTGAGTTAGTAGCACCTAATAATGTTTCTTAAATGATTATCACTTGACTTTCTACTTTTCTTTCTTTTGCAGCAAAACCCAAGTTGGCAGCATTGATAATAAGACTTCTCCACCACCATACAGTAACAGTTAACTTTTATAATCAGCAGATAGAGTACTAACACTATACAGGGTATTTTTACACTATATAAGTGGTGCTAGCGTTATAATTATATATTTAATTGATGCTTCAACTTTATAAGAAAAGTAACTGTTCCAAAACAAATAAGTTAGATATGTAATATGTATGTAATAAATTAAGACTATTTTATACACAGGCACCATGTTCTGCTAAAAGACAATACCTCTTATAGTATCTTAATATGAAAGGTACGCGAGAAGCAATTTTGTTCTTCCATTCTCATAAAAGTATCTGGAGCAGAAGAAACAATGATTATTTCATAGTACGCAATGAATTAATTCCTAACCATTGATTAGTTACAGTAATTGGCAAGTTTTCTTCGAATCAAACCCATGGGTTGTTATTATATCAGCTATTTATTTTTATTTCTAAATATTGTATCAATTTTTATTCTAAAACGGTTTGATAATTATCAGATATCTTTTGTAAGAATATATACCATGCTAAAGTAGAATCTTATTATTAGTTTTATTCAATTCTGTAGTTGAAAGTCCAGATTATTAGATAATCAATGTTTACTTCTGCTCCGCAAACTCTTATTTGAAGAATGAATTAGAAATATTTCGATAAAATACGACATGTTAAACTGTAAAAAAACTGTCTGAATGTGAAAATATAGAAAGAAGCTAAAGTGGAAGGAAACACGAGAAACATCGCGGAGGAAGAATATGTCCAGAACAAAATGGCGCCTCGAGTACCGATATATTTAGCTACTATAAGAGGTGTGATTTTTTTTTTCAGAATCTGGTGTCTGTTTATTTATACTGTAAAACGTCATGAAAAATGTTAATATTTCTTTCTCTCATATTTAGCTACTTTATTGTATTTAATGATGATTCATTTTGATAAATAAATAATGTGATAATGCATTTAGTTTATTTTTAATCACCTTTAATAACGGACGTAAACCATTTTAAGTGTTCAATGGTTTCCTGAAATCAACTTGTGTTGGATTTCACTCTTGCAAATATAGGTGAAGTTCTTGTAGAATAATTCCCCGTTCTCAAAACCCCACAGGCACCGAAGGGAAAACCACAGATTGTTACAGTTTACTGTACAGTTTTAAGTCTTTAACTAATGACTTATTTTGAATATGCACAGTGTGTAGCTAACATGCGAGTAAGGGGTCGTTAGAAGAATGTCGGATTTTGGTGCAATATTGGTGCTAGTGGATTTGTTTTAGATGTATTTGAGGATGGCTATATATTATTTTTTACACGACCCCACTATCTATAAATTTTCCTATGATAAGTCTGCAGTGTCTGTTTATAGCCGTGTATAGCTGTTTATTTGACATTTTGGTAGCATAATAAGCATAGACAACGATTGGATCTGGTTTTTATGACACAGTACTAACTAGACCTTATACTTCTACTTCACAGGCTAACCTGACAGAGGCCATATTGAGCGTTATTAATGAATAAGTCGCATGCCTTAAACGATGTCAGCCTGTGAATACCATATTTATTCAATCCAACTTTTGTCTCATTTTTTTTCTATTAGTTTCTATTTTTAGTGTAGCCACTTGAGAGTAGTCTTGAACATTTGTTAAATTACCTTTTAGTACTAACCTGTTTTAACCAATCAAATTTACGCCTTCTCCATCGTTGGTGTTTTATGAGAGATTGGAGGAATTTGATTGGTTAAAGTAAATGTCATCAGATTAGGTCAAAAGGTTATTTTGACAAATGTTCAAGAGTCCAGTCGTTAGACCGTGCTCTGAAGTGGTTATACTAAAAATAAAAACTAATAAAAAACACAAACGGAAGTCTAGGGTTAGTTTAGTTTTAATTAGACTGTTATTCCACGGGCTATATTCCACGGGATACAAGAATATCAATTTTATCCGAACTTAGTACATAAGAAAAAAACTCGGTAATCGGATTAATGGTTTATGTCTCTCATAATCCAAGCATGTTCTTCATATTTCTAAGAATTGTTGCATACTACTATCATGATTGTTTAAATTTTTTCAATTTAAAATGAATCCAGGCAAAATGTATTGGTCAATGAAGGATATCCTGTCTGAGACATTTATTTGATTTATAATATGATAATATGTAATTATCTTGTACAATCGGTAAACTCGGTAATCATCTCGCATCATTCGATTGGTCAATCACTTAACTCAATTTTAAGATAGGTGTTATTCTCCAATAAGATCACTGTATTTCTTTACCTTACTTAAGTTTTCAAGAAAAAGGCCCCCATGTTATAGGATGCATATTGCAATGACATAATTTTAATAATTACGTTTATTTACATTTACAAATGGAAAAGATGGCATATTTCACATATCTTTTTAGAATAGGTGTGTCTAGCATGTTTTTGGATGAAGCAAGAAATCTTGAATCGCTTATTTTCCCTGAAGACTTGAAAATGAAATGACATTAATTCGTAAAATTATTGTGTTATGCAGATTCTTGTTAGAATTGTTGCTATATTCGTCTAACAATTTTCAAAACTTAAGCTACAGATGCACTACAATTCAAAAAATATTTTCCCTTATAATATACACGTACACACACACGAGGACAGATTACAACAGACAACACGACATTAGATAACAACAGACAACACGACAACAGATAACAACAGAAAACAACAGACAAACCGACAACAGGATTCTGCAATTAGAACTAAAAAAGTTCCAAATATGTTTTCAGTTTGTACAAATATTTAGGCTGTTCAGAATTCTATTGAAAGGAACGAAATCGAAAGTCAATAATTCACAAGAATAACTGTATTTTATAGTTAATTAAAAACCAATTTCTTTCCTGAGTTGACGGATTTCATCAGAATCACCTTCTTCTGTTTCAGGCCTTAAAACAGGTTTACTGCTTAACGTAAAATACTGAAATATAAAATAGAACGATAAGAATATAAAAATGATTTAATTGTTAATGATAATTTAGACCACGAGTATTTTATTTACAAAATGAAATGGCGATTCACCTTTTACGTTTATATCTGACATTAATTATACAGTTATTCAGAAATGAAACTAAGAAGAAAAGCGAGATATAGCGATGGTTGAGATAGAGAAGGATTAGAAAATCTTGTCTAGCTGTAAACCACAAGCATTCATAAACCTCATCAAACGTAACTACGTTTGGTTCCTACATAAACGATTATGTTATGCGACAACCCAAGATGGTGTTTCAAAAGTCATTGATAAAAATGTATCAAAAGATTGGGTTATCGACAAGGACCTGCTAGCAATATATCGATTGTTTCAGATGTGAAGATCGACACATAATAATTATTTAAACCTACCTTCCTGACGTCATCATGTTCCAGGCGTTTAGATGGCTGAGTTTTGTAATATTTATTTATCCTAGAATTTAAGACAATTATGGTACAAATGTCTTTTCGGATTGGTTTGAGATTAGGAACTTTATAACTCGGTCAACAGTCGGATATCTGAAAACTAGGATATTGACCTTAGCTGTCGTGTTAGCATAGCTCGAAAAGATGCACGAACAGAAATTTAAACTCATTGAATAAAAATTCTTAGTTTATTTTATGATTAACACAATACTATGGGTAATTACTATGTATTGTATCTAAACTTACCAAACGTCAGGTTTGAAATAAAGAGAATGGACACAAAAAACACCTCCCATAATACACGCAGCACCGACAAACACCATCATAGGTACTGACTGAAGTAAACAATATCGTTACATTATAACCAATTTTTTGACAACAAAAAATATCACAAAATGCTCTCAATAAGTGAAGTCTTTAAAATAAATGTAAACACATTTCCTAGTTATCCACATCAATACTAACAAGGGTATAACTAAATGCAATGTTTATTTCAAAGCGGAAGAGACTAAACACTCGTAAGAGTTCAAATAAAGTTTTTCTTTCCCATATCCAACCGTCACTATATATGTCAAGTCAAGCTATAAGTTATTGTGAAGAATATCTTAGTTATTCGGTTATATTCTTACTTCTGGGTTAACTCTCATCATGTGTCGCATTTTCTCCCATCTCGTTCTCTTGTCAAGAAATTGACCAACCATGATTCTGAAATACTAATACGATAGATATAAGCCTAAACCAGACTCAAAACCGCAAAGCGCGGTTCTCTATTTCTCTAGGGATCCATTTTGAGACGTGGCAAATAGTGATAGCGGCCGAATAAGATTTTGCTACTCTTGTGTTATAAAAATGTAAAATTAGAAAGTTCGAAATAAAGAATCTATATTCTTAATCTATATTAAGGAATGATATGACGAGGACGATAACATAATTATGTTGGTGAAGACAATCAATAATATTGTTATCAGGAGATAACAAAACATAATATTCCAATTCCCAATTAAACTGAACAAATACAAGACATCTGCTTTACATAATTCATAAAAAAATACAGACAAGTTTCTATTTGGCTCCTGGATTCAAACATTATATTTTGAATTTTGGAACGGTATTAAAATTGTGTACATCAATGAACAGAAAGTGTTAACGTAAATTAATGATGTCTCTAAGATGATATTACAGATTTGATTCAAATTTTATTGCATGCCGATCGATACGACATTAAGGAGTGACCAGAAAAAGTATCGGGATATTATATGGCAATGTTTTCATTTAAATCATTTTCCAGGATGATCCAATAACACACCGATTTAATTTTGTTACCAACATTCAAACACTTTAACTGCTATCAGTAATTAAATTTTCTACAGACTTTTAATTTCATATTAAGAGTTAGAAAACATAGCCCGACATAGCATCACTGTCACCGGTAAACTTATACTATTTCATTAATTGGAAAGATATTTTTTGGGTAATTGTTAACCTCAAAAGAATTTGAAGCCAAATGGTTTCAGTTATGATTAAATCTGCTTTTATTAGTGGATGTGGTTTCAAATCTATCTCGGTGTTTATAAAACTGTAGAGCCATGTGGTTTGTCGACCTGACCTACACTTTCTGCCCGAACATGAGATGTATACATCAACAACCAGACTGTGCTCTTTTAACTAAATACGACACATCGTTTCAGGTCTCAACTTCAACCGTAGATGTATGAAAAGTAACTTTAAATGTTTTTGTTAAGATATAGTGTATAATAAAACAAAAACATCTTCAAACAGTGTGAAACGAATTACGAAAGTTTCTGTAAACTTAGTCCGTCCAAAAAGAAACATTTAAGGAACTGTTGAACTTTGATTCGCCATTTTGTGTTTGAAAATGAAAGAAAAGGATATCAATGTGACTTTCGTTTTGTTCGTTAATATATTTACATTTATTGTAATATCTGTATTTGATATTCACTTCACTGTTAGACGACTTTTTTTTATTTAATATCTTGCATAAAGGTGTGTATTGCACAGTGTTATTGTGACTACTATTACTTGGACGAGATTAAAATAGCATAAATAGAGCTATATATAGCTAATAATTTGTAATCTTCCTTTAACATATCATCATGTCAATGCTCTTTTTACTTAATATGCATACTTTTTTCTTTCAATGATGATGTCAATATTTCAAATTTATTTTTCTGTGGTATTTAGCGTTGTTAAAAAATTGATTATGGTTAATCAAAAAATATTTCGTCCGTGCAAGTAAATTTTCAAATGGGTTTGATATCTTTAGCTTTATATGACATTTGGCTCTTCACTCATATTATTCCTTTCGTTAATTTTAAAAATATTTGATAACGGGTAATGCAGGTTGACATTTGTTTAAAGGTACTGATCAGTTTGTTAATCTAATTCGATGGATCTGCCATAGATATATATACGGTTTGATTTTGCCTTTAAAACAAGTAATTAACATCAAATTAAATTCGCTCTGACAGGTATAGACCTACCAGATTCATTATTTTATTTAAGTTGCTTTATTATCAAATGAATTAAGATAATTATCTCATGCTATAAACCACAGTCTATTAATCATGCGTTCTAACAATTAACTTGTAAACCTATTAATCATTCTTTTATTATTAATCATGCTTTTAGTCAAAAATAAATCATCATTAATCTATATTCTATTTTTGTTGGCACAGGACTTATATGACATGTTCATATCTTTCACTTTAGTTCCTTATGGCTTACTATTACATAAACTTTGATGCAAGTCCAAAAATAACAATTTATTACATTTGGTACAGCATTGTCAAATGCAAAGAGTATACTACACGCAAATTTCAAATCTACAAAGAACTGTCATAACAGTGGAAGCGCTCAATTTTGCTGCGTCGCCTCGTCGATAATTTTACAAAAACTGTAGGCGAATGGTTCCATCCAGATCCCAACATTCTGACATTGTACAATGTTTTTACATTTATTTATACAAAACTTCTGGATATCACTACAGGAAGTCAATATGCAATTTGCACAACAAGTAATTTCCCCTACCAAATTTCCAACTCTGCAGTGAATTCCATTGATGTTTGGTAGTTTTGAATATCTGTGGGTAATTCATTGGAATTTCCAGATCATTTACGATATATTTCTTTGAATTAAAATAAGGATTAGGTTGAATGTGACCAATTCATATACCGACATTATAAAACCTATGAATTTGCTGATGTGTCCTTCGATAATTTGGTGACAATTGCCATTATTGTTATCACGATTCTGTCATTCTGCGACATTTAATCAAATATATTATATTATTATAGAACTAATGTTAGATCTAGTTTCTTGTTTCTAAGGTGACAGTGGACATAATTGATATGAATGGTTTAGAGAAGATATAAATAGATGACAATGTAAATGAATGAATTGAATTTTCTTAAAACTGAATGAGAAATTCATAAACAAATTAGTTACTATTTTATGAAAATGATTACACATTTTCGATATCATAAGGTAGAATATAGGCGAGGCAAAAAAAATGCATTAAGTGTAGAAAAATATATTGAAATATCCCACAAATTGATAGATTTTTTTGTGAAACAGGGTCGAATACCGAGTGATTTCGCTTCTTTTATACTCTACAGTTGGAACAAACGTAAAGCTACTTACTACTATATGATGAAATCACTTTTTTTAAAACTTGCATGGAACTACAAGTTTCTGTAGGAAAAAATATCAAGACCACATTAAAGATAACAATCGACAAAAAATGTTAGTATTAACAATTTTTTTTAGATCATTGTTGAATTCTTTTAATATCCAATCGACATGTTCGGTACTCCTAATATACACATTTTCTCAACAGCTCCAAGGCAAATACTAACCGATAAATACAGATGTCAGGTATCCTAGGTATAAATAAGCAAGCAAAATGACATCAAATCTTTCGCAACTTTTTAACAATTATTGTAATATTTAGGCTATTTTACATTCACGATTTTGATGAATTCTCTTTACACGCCTTGAAAACGATAATAATTTCCTAACCTTATTATATTATATTGTTATATGTAAATGAACTTATAATGAAATAATTAAGAATTAAAATATAAAATTGAAACTTACATGTATAAGTTTGTAATTGATATATGATATTATTTGTCGGTATGCGCACTGTACACAAAGGCGGTAACTTTGTGTTGGCAATTTGTATCCTTGTTTCGATTTGATACACGTTTACCGAGTCACGTAGTCAAAGACTGACATTGTCCAATAGGAAGAAATATTCGACCGACCTTGATCAAGGTGAATTGAAAGACAAAATAAATGGCCCTGCTTAAAAATGAATATTGATATCTAAAACAGATAAGAATGTTTGATAAATGTTCCTTCAAGAGCAGATTTCTACTGGTATTTCTATGCATTGGTTCGTACGTACTATACAAAGGATTGTACTATAAACTGATGCGTATAAACAGTAGTTTATTGGGGGTATATTACACACTAGTGCTTACTATCCATGTATACACATAGACGTGTGTTTGTACTATATATACTGGTGCTTACTATACATTTGTGCGTACTTTATACCACTGTGTTTTAAACTATGGTGTGTACTAATCGTCAAAACTCATCAAATTTTGGACCGAGAGAATTATAATTTTTGTTTTAAATAAATGTTTAACGTGTCGAAAACAAAACAGAAATTTTACAATCTTTCGACTATGAGGTATCATCCCTATTTTCAAGATGAAAATATAAAGGTGCATACTCTGAATCAGTGTCTACCATACATCGATATAATGGTATGTACTAGTATTGGTGAGTACTTAATACTGGTGCCTACTATAAACTGATCATAATATACACTATTGTGTATTTCTGCGTAGTTTGTATTTGTGCGTTTAATATTCCGATGAGTACTAAAAACTCGTGTACTAAAGGGTACAATGTATTGGTGCGTTTTTAATTATTTATGCATACTATAAACAAATGTATGCTACAAACTAGTGAGTACTATACACTAATGCGCACTATACAGGAGTGACTACTATACGCTGGAGTGTAATGTATACTGGTTCATACTATACTATGCGTACTATTTGTTTGAGTTAACTAAAACACTGGTTCGTACTATACACTATAGTGCTTATTATATACTTGTGTTTACTATTCGCTGATGCGTAATATAATCTAGTGCGTACTAAACACCGGTGTGTTTTATACACTAGTATTATTACCTGATACTATTATAATCTGATGCGTTCTTTACACCGATGATTACTTTGGAGCGTACTATAAATGTTTACATTTACATTGCTCACTTTACACAGATGCATAACATACCTAGATTATATTGTTTTTACGTGTCTATTGCACACATTTACGTACGTTTAGCATATGTATTATACATGGGGAGGTACGATACAATCGTTGGTATGATTTCTTCATTCGTTTTTGTTCAAAAATAAAAGCTTCCGCGAGAAATCTGCGAGGCATTGAAAAACAGGTTTGAACGTTTTCTTTTTACAGACACTAAGCTGAAATATCTTACTGTTTATTTTTGTTGAATGGGGTCGAATTTCAATCTGGCGTGTATAATAGATGACAACACTTTATTTTCAATACCAATATGCAACCTTTTGAATGTTCAAAAGAGAATGGTGGATATTTTTAGTCACCAAAATTCACTTTATAACTAGATAAGATTTATTTTTTTTTA